AGAAAAATGTGAAAATTGTAGAAAAATGTGAAAATTCATAAAAATGTGAAAATTTCAGAAAAATGTGAAAATTTCAAGAAAAATGTGAAAATTTCGAGAAAATGTGAAAATTTCAGAAAAATGTGAAAATTTCGAGAAAAATGTGAAAATTTCGGAGAAAATGTGAGAAAATGTGAAAATTCTGAGAAAATGTGAAAATTTCAGAAAAATGTGAAAATTTCGAGAAAAATGTGAAAATTCTGAGAAAATGTGAAAATTTCGAGAAAAATGTGAAAATTTCATAAAAATGTGAAAATTTCATAAAAATGTGAAAATTTCATAAAAATGTGAAAATTTCATAAAAATGTGAAAATTCTGAGAAAATGTGAAAATTCTGAGAAAATGTGAAAATTCTGAGAAAATGTGAAAATTTCAGAAAAATGTGAAAATTTCGAGAAAAATGTGAAAATTCTGAGAAAATGTGAAAATTTCAGAAAAATGTGAAAATTTCGAGAAAAATGTGAAAATTTCATAAAAATGTGAAAATTTCAGAAAAATGTGAAAATTTCATAAAAATGTGAAAATTTCGAGAAAAATTTGAAAATTTCAGAAAAATGCGAAAATTTCGAGAAAAATGTGAAAATTCTGAGCAAATGTGAAAATTTCAGAAAAATGTGAAAATTTCAGAAAAATGTGAAAATTTCAGAAAAATGTGAAAATTTCAGAAAAATGTGAAAATTTCAGAAAAATGTGAAAATTCTGAGAAAATGTGAAAATTTCAGAAAAATGTGAAAATTTCATAAAAATGTGAAAATTTCAGAAAAATGTGAAAATTCTGAGAAAATGTGAAAATTCTGAGAAAATGTGAAAATTCTGAGAAAATGTGAAAATTTCGGATTGTCAAACCAAGTCCGGAATGTCAAATCGATTCTGGAATGTCAAACCGATTTCGGAATGTCAAACCGATTCCGGAATGTCAACCCAGTTTCTGAATGTCAAACCGGTGCCGGAATGTCACGCCGATTCCGGTATGTTAAACTGGTTCTAGTATCTCAAACCTCGATCAAACCGGTTCTGGTATCTTAAAACCGGATTAAACCGGTTCTGGTATCTCAAAACTGTATCAAACCGATTCCAGTATCTAGAAACTACATCAAATCAGTTCTGCCATCTCAAAACCGGATTAAACCGAATCTGATATCGAAAACTGGATCTGGTTCTAGTTCCCAATTTCGAGAA